CCCCCCCCCCCCCCCCCCATGGAATTAGTCCAAATATCTGCCCTCTCTGCACTGATTTATGTCTAATCACCAGATGTGCACACAGCTTGAACTGAAGGATGTGCAAAAGTTAACTTTTAAATCAAGATTCTAAACTCCCTGCAAAACGTTTGAAAAAATGTATGTTTTTTTCCAAGTTATTAATTCTCCTGTCATTCTTTAATAGGCCGCCTTTAGACTGAACTTGTTTCTGCTCAGTGGGTTTTGTCCGTCAGTTTCCATCCAGACAGCACAGAGCTCATCAGCTGTTAAATAGGAAAAAAGTGTTTGTCTAATTACCGTATTTTCCGCCATACGTATAACTCACATCAGTCCAAATATGTCGGATAAAGTGGAAAAAACATAAAAACGTCGCTTCACCGTATAAGTCGCATCCATTATGCGTCACCGCTGACAACCGGGAAATGTGGGCTGGTGTTGTGCCAAAAATCGATTGGTTGCCAAATGGCGGTCGGGAGCGTGCACAGGAGGACGTTGACAAGAATTTAACAAGATTAACACTTAAAAACATTTATTTGTTTGCTCGAAATTATAGCAAAGGTGTTTCTCAGTTGAACTTTCCTTAATAATAATAATAATAATAATAATAATGTCATCACAATGTCAGCACTGTATGTTTCCATACAATGGCGAAATTAGTCTCTGCATTTAACCCATCCACCACCAGGTGGTGCAGTGGGCAGCTATTGAAAGCGCCTGAGGGACATTTTGGGGATTAGACGTGCTGATAAATACACTTTGACGTCAAATCAGCGGCATTTCAAAAGCCGATTCGTGGAAGCATGAGCGCGGGAGCGCGGGAGCGCGGGAGCGCGGGAGCAGGATGACTCACTGTGCATTTCTTCGAAATTTAACAAGATAACCATCTAAAAACAATTATTTGTTTGCTTGACTTTATAATAAAGGTGTGTCTCAGTTTAACTTTTCTTTAATAAAAGGACTTTAACGGTCAGATCAGCTGCATTTCAAAAGTATTTGCTGCCTCGGGGCTCTGGGAGCACGCAGAGGGAGGAAATCGGGAAAGAGGAACGCTATAAGCACTGGGCATTTTGTCAAAATTTAAAAAGATAAGTACCTAAAACAATTATTTGTTTGTGCGACATTATAGCAAAGGTGTGTCTCAGTTGAACTTTTACTTAATAAATACACTTTAATGGTCAAATTAGCTGCATTTTTTCCAGGGCGGCACAACAAAATGAAGCTGATTTGTTGATTGCTCCAGCCATGATCCCAGAGCTGGACGATGATGGCAGTCTGTGGCAAGCTGATTGTGTCATTAATAGCTACATTTACCTATTACATGATACAACGGTATGCCATACAACTTGAGTGACATCTAGTAGCTGAAAATGGTAGTGTTCAATATTTTCAGTCAGAATGAATGAAAACGGTTGTATTGCAGCCAAAAATTGGTTTATAAATATGGAAAAAACATGCCTCTGCAGACCAACTGTTTATTTACTTAAAGAACAAACTGTATTAAAAAATGTAAACAAATCTCTTTGGGTCAACTGAGACCATAAAACTTCAAAAAATTAATTTTCCATTCGTAACATGCCATCAAAATCCACAAACTACGTAGTTTCAAAACTGTGCTCTAACACAACAAGTTTTATTTAAATTATTTAGTAAGTTCATGTAAATTAATTGGAATCATGGATGATTAGTTTTTATGTTTATTAAAGTGTACAAAAAAATAAAAAATAACCTAATTATTTGCCATTTGACTGAACAGGTTTTGCCAACATATTGGTGAGTTTTGACCTCCCACCATCCCCCCTTAGCCATGCCCCTGGATGAAGCATGGATCACTTAAGATAACATTTGTTCATATGAGCATTACTAAATGAAGAGGCTCTGAACAGAAGGTGATCACATGTTCAGCGTTAAGCTCAACCATGAACCAACCACAAACCAAGCATGAGGCTCTGAGGACAAAATGTGGAGTTCATACGTAGAAAACCAGGAAGTAATTTTTTCCAAATGAGGAGGTTCAATCTAAAAAGTGCTCTTCTGTTCGCCGTTAGGTCAGGGTTAGTTCATCATTTATAAAACATGTGGTGCCCTTTAGTTGGAAGTGTTACCATTTTTTTTTTTTTTTACTTGAACTTGAATCATTAAATCTTCTTGAAACTACAGTCTGTCACAATAAACAAAATATGCATAAAATATCCTGTATTATGTATCATACAGGCAATAACAAAAGGTCAATACAATCAACATAAACAGTGATGCTTATTGGATTAAAAGCTCCATTTCCTGTGTTGAATTTATTCCAGGTGATCTCATTTTTAAAAGTTTTATATTTCTGTTTCAAATTATTTTTTTTCCTGCTGAAAATAAGGCAACTGTTCCTAGAAAAGGTCAGGACTACAGTAAGTCAGCGGTGTCTTGTGATATTTATACACTCCAGAAATGACTGAACAAAAACGAAACGTGGATCAAACAGCTCAGATGTGGTTTGATATCTCTGCTGAGGTGTGGCTGGCTGCCTTATCGCCCTGACATGTACCACTCCCCTCCAGTGACCGCAGCGTCACGCTGCCTGTCAGCTGACTGACTCAGGCTCTGGGATCATAGACTGACAGACAGGAACAAACACCGGCTGGGGTCACTGAGCTGGGCTTGTTTGAATCAGCAGGAGGAGGTGAACGTCTCCTGACTGGAGGTTGAGCCTCAGACACACAGCAGTGACTGTGGTATTTGGACAGACAGATTAAATATTAATATGCTCCCACTTCAATCAGATTACTAAACACCGTCTCAAAGCTGAATGTCTCATGAGACTGGAGCACCAATTACTCTCTTCCTTGTAATCCTAACACATATCTTTTTATTGATTTAAAAGTGGCAATTGTGCAATTGTCTTGCACCTACTGGAGTAAGAGGGGATTTTTGTAATAACTTGAATAATTTATTTGTGGATTATTTTATTGAAGGCAGCTATTGAGACAGTTCCAAGTCCAAAACAAATTTCTCCATGGAGACAAAGTGTATTGTACTGCCACATAAATTGTACTTTTGAGATATTTCCCTTCAGGCAATGAGATGTTATTTCATATTTGCAAGTGTATAAGACCAATACCTTGATGTTCTCTCCTTGGTTTTAACCATCCCATAACATCCTCAAGAGTTCTTTAAACATTTACAAAACCTTCTGAGCAGGTGACACAAGGACAAGGCTGAGACAAGGACTTCCCCTAAGATGAAACTTTATTTCAGATCTAAAAATAACTTTTATCACTTGCATGATATTTAAAATGAGCTCATTAAAGGCTTAAAGTCTAAAACAATACCCCCTCTAAAGGAAAAGAAAAAGAAAGAGTTGGATTTAGGTGGCTCTGGACCATCCATCCATCCATTATCTTTACCCGCTTATTCAATTTTGGGTCACGGGGGTCGCCGGTGCCCATGTCCAGCCATCACTGTGCGAGGGGCAGGGTACACCCTGGATGGATGCAGGTCCATCACAGGGACACTAAGAGACAAATTAGACAAACAACCATTCACTCTCTCACTCACACCTAAGGACAATTTAGAGTTACCAATCAGTCTAACATGCATGTTTTTGGTCTGTGGGAGGAAACTGGAGCACCCGGAGAAAACCCACGCATGCACGGAGAGAACATGCAAACTTCACCCAGAAAGACCCCTGGACCAGGATTTGAACCAGGGACCTGCTTGCTAAGAGGCAGCAGCTCTACCAGTTGCGTCACCGTGCTGCCCATGTGTGAAATTATAAAACTAAACATCCAATGATTGTTACATTTTAAGACAAGATAACAAGACTGGATTCCTTCCATTCATCATTTATCGGTCTCTTCCATTTTAGGTTGCAGGGGGTCACTGGTGCCCATATTCAGGTCTCAAGTCTATCACAAAAGACTGGATCCTTGTTTAAAAAAAAAAAAAAAGCCAATTTTTCAAAACTAAAAACAATGAACTATTCAGTCTTATGTAATTTTTGACAAGAACTGGTTTTGGATCAGCACAACACCAAGACACAGGAAAGGTTTAAATAAGTCGGTCTGGGTCTTGCAGCCAGTCCCATCTTCTGTCTTGATGGTTTGACTTAGGCTGTAGTCTCACTATTGCCTGTGACGTCACTCAGGAAGAGTGAACTGTAGCAGCGGAGCAGTTCAGGAGCACTTAGAAAGGTCCAGAAAGGGGAATCCAGGTTCGTGGTCCAGTAATCGTGGCAGGGGTCAAACACAAGGAAGCAGAGAGCAGAAGTCAGAGCCAAAACATGATCCAAAGACTTGGTTGAGAGAGAATGCAAGGATGGTACCAAGGTCAGATGAGCAGACAATCCAAAAGAGCGAGTAGTCAAAAACAGGCTGAGGTTCGTGGCCAAATGTCAAAACAAGGCAACACTGGATTTCTACTACTTGGTGAGGTTCAAGAATCTGGCACTGAACGAAGGTGAACAGGGAGCTTAAGTAGGAAGGTGAACAGGTGCAGTGAATGGAGGCTGATTGCAGAAATCAGGCAGAGGGAGAGTGGAGCTGAGTGACTGACATGAGCTGGAAATACTTGACAGGGAGAACAAAAACATGAAAACATGACAAACAGAGGCAGGTGAGG